GATCTCGAGTTAAATGAACGCGTATTTCAATAACACGTATTTAAACACCAGCTATGGAGCATTTGGACTGTTTTGATTTCGTTTGTTGCATTTCATTAAACATTTTTTTAAAGGGAGCCATACAATTGCATGCTGATTGCGCGCAAGGTGGAATGCAGTTTTGTGTATGATACAGTGACGAATGGAATAGTCATCGCACCGACAGAATGCTGAGCACCGCACCAACACCTCTGATCCTCGGCCCCAGTAGGCACGAACTGTCGGTTTGGTTAAATTAAACCTTGCCTTAAGGATGATTGCTGCTGTTTTATTCAAACTTGCATACCGTTGGTTTTGTGAATGAACCTAATAGCGACAACGCCTGCGTTTTTCGTGAGTGGAACCAATCCTCACTCAAATGACTCATTCCAATTCTTGAATGTAACATGCTTATTGACACTAACTTGGTGGGTCCTAATTACCATCAGGTTAACAGTGCTTGTACTTTGAGACAATCTTTGATATATTCCCACTCTTTATCCAATTAATTGTTAAGTAAATTTATTTAATTAACTATTTGTCGAGGGACATGGAATTATGGAAGCAATAATTATATGTTCAACCTTGTTTGAGATTATATCGAGGAACTATCTAAAGCACAAGGTTTTCAATTTCCTCAAGGCTCAGCTCTCCATCTTTGTTCTTATCGAATGAGTCGAAAAATGTCTTCAACGCAGACATCGAAAGCTTCTGCCCTCCCTTCTTCTCCATGGCCATTTTAAACTCTGCGAAGCTCACCTTGCCTGACTTATCCACGTCCATCGACTTGAAGGTTTCCATTGCAACTTCCTTGACATCCGGCCTACAACAATCGAAAGCAGTGTGCTTAAGTATCGTGGAATTGTTGGGGAGGCCAATGGATCCATCAGCGCACGCCTTGCATTTGTACCCTTTCCTCTCTCATTTTTCATTTTGTATGGAATAAGGCTTGGCTATTTACCAACTCACACCGGAATTATTTTTCATTTTGTGGCAAACATTGCTTAGGTGATTGAAAACGAGCTAAGTAATTTGAGCTAGGCGAACTTAAAAACGAAAAGTATTCTGGATCGCAGGCTCAATCCGTGATTCCCACCATCTCATTAGCCATTTATCAAAGAATCGCATCCATATTTGCTGGTGCCAACTTCATTGCCTCACTTAATCCTGCTTTAGTGTTGCTCTGTTTCGTATGATCATTTAAGGCCAAACATTCCCTCCCCAAAAACACTAATTTCCCCCATCAATATTAACCGTAGGTAAGGTAAGACCTATTTAAGTTTATTCCAAAACAAAGTACGTTGGTTCAACAGTTTTGTAAAGGGGCAGCTCTCTCACCTCACCAACGTCTCTCCTTACAACGACACGCATGGCTTAACTGCAATCACTGGAATCCAAACACCTCATATGTAAGTACACTCCGTCTCCAAAATGCAATCGCTTTAGGCGATTAATCATTGAGGAGGAAGAAAAAAGCCAACTCACTGTTTTGTCGGTGGTTTTGGCTTCCCAGTTTTCGCAGAAATACTCATTTCTAAAACAAAAAAAACATTGCCTCATTTGTTTTTTTTATCTTATTCTGCTACCAGATTAGCCTTCTTATTTAAGCCCTCGAACGATCAACGGAAGCCAGAATGTATTAAACGCACTTTCTGCTGCCATATGTGCTTATGACTAAGAGATGGAAACTGCAGTTAAAAAGAGTTAATGGCAACACATTTGGTTTGCAAAGCAAGTTTTGCTTACCTGGTGGTGTGCGGTTGAGCGATTGTACAAGTGGCAGGAAATGGCCTTGTTTGGTGCTTCTAGAGGCGACTTTTTAATGAAATACACCCACCGCTAGGGCACCAATCGGTGAACTGCAAAACTGTGCTTCTCATTCACCTCCTCACCAAACCATTGGGTGACTTTCACGGATCAAAGGCTCCCATGCATCCGTCATTCTCTGAACCAGTTGGAGAAGCTGTTTGCAGACAAAATGTATCAGTCAAAAAAAAAAACTTTTACACGTGCGCTTTTGCCACAGATCTACTTATTTACGATAAAGCATTTAGCTTTAGTGCTTTGCTTATGACGAAAGTGGGTTGAGCTTTGGAGAATTATTATAAAGGCAGGTCTATTGAATATTCCCAAGATCGCTTAATGCTTTTACATGAATAAAAAAAGTTTGTCAAAGTTAAAACCGTAAGAATTTTTTTTCGGACTGCAAGTTTAGCAGTTTGAATTTCTCCTTAAATTTCGAAATCCGTAGCGTTATGACAGAGAGCTTAGTCCTGATACACAAGAAGCTAGAGATGCTGTCATGCGTGACCAAAGTAAAACACTGCATTGGGGTTCCTTGCCTTGCCTCGAAGACTTTTGAAAACTGTATCATATACATGGTTTATAGAATTCCCACTCGACATCTAAAGTTTTAAAATCAGCACTACGAAACTCAAATTCTCACCGCTGTTCTAAGAGCTATATTTGAGCAGCATGGATGATACAACTCTGCGGTTTTAAGACTACAATTGTAGCGCCTCGAGACTTCTCAATAGGTAGAAGAAGGCATTAGACTGGACTGAATATATGCATCTTCCGGGTTGAAAAGAAGACATTGGATTTTGGCTTCACCCGAAGTCCAGCCCACGCATACAAGGACAAGACTATGCTAAGCCAACCACCAGACATCTGGTGGTCACATAAACAAAGCATTGCACAGTCTCTCTCTCCTTTTGAACGACATCCTCGACACTCCCTTGGTACACCTCACGCA